TATATATATATTTCTTTTCTCAAAACGTTGATGACGTCATATCTTAACCATTCTTCATTTCTGAATAATATTAAATGGGCTTATACTTGAGGTCAAGGTTGAATGTTAGGTATCTTACTTTTTTGTTTGCGCGTCTTAACGTGCGCGTACGCGTGCGTCAAAAATGACATATTTTTATAATTATGCCTATTTATAATCAAACATAGCTCCTTAGGATGAAAGGTCATCATATTGCCACTTAAATTAAGAAAAAACTAAATTTTTATTTATGACATCATTACTTTTAATACTCGTTTGAACGTATCTCGCTTATCTTGATTGTCTCCCACCCGTGAGTATATTATAGCTAAATCAATTCTCTTTCAGGCGTGTCCCTTTATTTTTTATTTTCATCACGTCAGCATGGTGAAAAAGAATTATTTTTTGGAGCTCTTTTATCTCTCATTCTTAAAAGATGTAAAGAAATAGAACAGAAGAGGGCGGCAGACTGTATTTCGACGCTATCAGACTCATATTATGAATTATACGAAGGGAAAATTCGTGTGGCATTACCAACTAACAGGCGGTTTTAAAAACACTTGACAATGTTTAATTTCGTGTGCCATTACTGTACACGCACACATCGTGACGTGCGCGTCTGTTAACATTTGAAAATTTTCCATCACTATTCAGATAGTTCAAAGAACGTTTCAGGTCATTTTCAGCATTCCAAAACTTTCCATATTTACGCGCCATACGTTCATTTCCACGCACGCAACACGTACTGAAGCTGAAAATCACGTTTGTTACATACGTTGTGTTCCTGACACATTATTCATATCAGGAGCCATTCTTTGTGCTATTACCGTGCTCACGGGCGTCAAGACGTGCGCGTACCGATGTTTAAATACGTGTACAAATGCGTAAATCTTTCAAAATGCTCAAAATTATTCTTTTTTAAAACCTAATTACAGCATATTTTAGCATATAATGACACTTTTCAATCAGCACCGCGTGAGCTTTATGAGGGTCAAAGTACGGCGGATCACCGAACTCGTCCTCAGTGACGAGTTCAAATCTAGTTTGATTAAAATTTACACTGCAGCACCTAGGGCTATACAATTCAAGTGGGCAATAATAAATCAATTAAGTACAGTACGGTATTTAAAGTGCCTCTGCCACCTATTCTGACAATTTTTATAAACTACAGCGTGTTTATATTTATAAATATATTATAAACACAAGTGTTGGTCATAAATTACGAATAAAATTGATTTTGTACGAAAAAAAATGAGTTTGAAGTGTCATTTTTGAAAGACCTTAGAAACAACGAGGTCACTCAATGACGTCATTGGTGACCGACTTTGCCAAACTTCATCCAAGCGCGAAATCAAAACAAACACTGCGACGGTGGCCTAGCGGAGGAAGAAAAGCCCAAACTTCTACCCTAGGCTGCTAGTATATTACATAGTTTCCCAAGTTTTACACAATATGCCAGTAAATTGTGTTGTAGGGGGGTTATAAGTGCACACGAAGTAAATATTTTACGTTACCCAAAGATAGTAAAAGACGTTGTTGAGTTGAATTTGTCAATTTTACAATTCAAATTTTCATGGGCCGGATGAGCACAAGTCAAAAGAATTCGTGTGCTCACTTCATGTGGATTCAAAACGACGTTGGGTTTGCAATGCAAACTAGGCCTAGCTCTGAGAGAT